GTTTTCTCTGATGCACTAACTCTGCAGCAGCACTTCTTCGTCGTCTTGTCTGATGCACTCAACCAAGCGTTCTAACCACGACCTCGCCCCTCCCCCACCCTCCGAGTTTCTGTGGGAATTATTTTAATGATATTCTAATGGGCCGCTTTGTGATATCACAAAACCCGGAAAACAAACGCTGTAGTCCAAACGAGCCGTTCGTTGTAGTTCTTGAAAAGGGATTTAAAAAAAAAAACTAAATATCTCCCTTTGGAGTGGACTTTGAGATTTGTAAGTTTGAAGATTTTTTTTATGCCCAAACATACACACTACACACTGACTAAAATTAAAAAAGTGAAAAAGCGTAATAGGATTATGTATGTATTACGACAGGGCAGTTAACATATTAAACAGCATTTTCTTTCACTCTAAACCTTTATTACATGTAGATCAGTTGCAATCTGGTCTGCTGACACTGAACTTGGCATAAAATCACTTAGTAGACAAAATAAACAGCCAATCACTGCATATCAGTCAATACATTCGTCCATGGACCTCATCCAGGCCTAATTTCAAAATCAAGCTCCATTACTGACAACCAACACTCATCAATATGCGGCATAATTGATAGAGGATATCAGAACTTGCGTGACGGTGTTACTTTAACCCAGTCGGCTTCGGCTTTCATTTTGCTCGTGGGGACCTCATTTCCTGAGCAACCCTAAACCTGACTTGCAATGTATTAATCTATTGTGTGCTAGTCAGACTCACATGTCTGCTGCTTTAGCGAGGAAGACAGCGGTGTCATTTAGATACAAGATTAGCTGCCAACGGCGGGAATGTTAGACAACATATCATGAAAAACATGGGCGCAGAGGGAATCAATTTTCTGTACATTTAGTACAGAATTCAAAAACAATTCCATATCATCATGTCAATTAGGAACAAGGGGCAAAGTTTGTCTGGTTAACATGGGTAGTAGCATCTTTCCGTTTTGACGCTATGTAGTCTTTTTTCCCCCCAAGCAATAAACACTATAATTTAAAAGAAATTAATACTTTTACTCAGCATGGAATGAATTAAATTGATCAAAAGTGACAGTAAATGCATTTTTAATGTTACAAAATATTTGTTTGTTTTTTTAAATACAGTAAATGCCATACTTTTGAACTTTCTATTCATCAAAGAATGAATAAAAATAAATCACAAATATCACAAAAATATTAAGCAGCATAACTGTTTTCAACATTGATAATAATAGGAAATATTTCTTGAGCACCAAATCAGCATATTAGAATGATTTCTGAAGGATCATGTGACACTGAAGACTGGAGTAATGATGCTGAAAATTCAGCTTTGCATCAGAGGAATAAACTTCATTTTAAAATATATTAAAATAGAAAACAATTATGTTCAATTGTAATAATATTTCACACATTACATTTATTGTGTTTTTGATAATAAATGCAGTCTTTGTGCGCATAAGAGGCTTAACATTTTTTTACTGTTACCAACCCCAAATGTTTTAAATTTAGTGTATAAATGCCAAATATTTCATTATTTCATAATAGACATTTCTACAGTTAGCAATTTGATTATGAAGAACTCAAAATTACTTTTTCGTATATGGAGAACTCAAAATAACTTTTTCTTTGTTACATATATCTTATATTTTCCTTATATGCTGATATCACAGTTCAGGGCTGCGTTTCCCAAAAGCATCATAAGCCTAAGTAGATTGTTTAACCATTGCCACCAATGGTCTCTACGATCAACTTAGCTCAAAATGCAGCCCAGGCTAGTCCCAGGTGAAGGGTGTTCTTATTCTTATGGTGCCAACTAGCTTTGTCATGACGTTATTTTCCTGTGACTTCTAATGGATAGCAATGTCTCACCAGGTACTACTAACTACTTCATTAAGAACAATTTCAATGTCAAACTTTCTTAAATGCTATGAAGGTACTGGTCTGTAGAGACGAAGATCTTTACTGCCACCTTGTGTTTATACTAGGCACTGCTGTACTGTATTTCTCTTCTGATTTCTTAGAAGGTACTGCCAATTAGGGGTGGATACTGGAGACAAAATCTAATAGTAATGGTACATGACATATATCAAAGGCCTGCTGGATCATCATTTTCATTTGACCCTAACAAATATCACTTTCCCTGTTCTTAAGGACATAAGTTGTTAAACCAAGTAATCAGTCCTACCCTCCTCTGCTCTTTCTTCATGACATGTTTGTCGGTATCTTGCCAGAGCGCGTCCTCCAGCTCCTTCTGTTTGCGTGCATCAGCGACTGCTTTGGCCTCAGCCTTCCGGGCCCTCGCGGTGGCCGATTTGGAATTCTCACCCTGGAATTTCTTCGGCATTCCTGGGACTTCCCTGCGGAGGTAAGGTTGAGATGATGACCATATTGAAAGTGTCAGAATATGTGTTGCGATCACACAGGACATTAACGTGTAGTGTATAAACAAATTCTAATGAGAGAAAGACAAAAACTAAACACATGCTAATCATGAGGCTGAATCATAAAATTGATTTAGGACTAGATGTTATTGGGCTCTCTATTGGGTTTTGAGCATCTTCTGATACACAGTGTTCAGTGCTCCATTCATGCATGAGTAATACAATTTCTGCATTAGTAATACATTTCACAGTAAAAATAGACCTCAAACAACAGAAAAAAATAAGGGATTTAGAAGGCCCTTGTTCTCACAGTATTAACATAATCTGGCATTACTGGAGAGAGTTAAACTACAAATATTTCTATTACAGTACTTCCAAAAACGTGATTTCAATTAAAATCTGTCTACATGTATGCATGTATCTCTCTCTCGTTCTATATATATATATATATATTAGATAGAAACATAACAATTGTAATAATCACAATATGATTGTAATTGTGTATGTCTGTCTATGCATAAATATAATACACAAATTCACACCTGATGTTGGTTTTCTTAGTTCTGACAGCACGCTTAACATTTGACTCGTGGCTAAATTTCCTAAGATAAAGTGTTAAGAGGGAACACTCTGGAACTGTAGCAACATTTCAATTCTATTTTTCCTTTTCAGAAACATTCTCGTTAGCATTTTTGCTAATTACTCTGGTTTCAGAGAGTGACAGTATTTACGTTCAAGTTTTTATCGGATGCGGTCATTTGAACAATGAAAGCAGATATTGAGGAGAAAGTCTTAAACATCTCATTTTATTAGTCGAAGTCATTTTCAGGCACCGAATCTAATATATAATGTAAATACCACCAACCTTTTCCTGCGCCAGCCTGTGTTGCGCGCCCTTCTTCTTCTTCTTGTTTTATGGCGGGTGGCATCCAACGTTAAGGTGCATTACCGCCACCTACTATACTGGAGTGTGGACCAGATTGACTAACAGAACTTAAAAAAAAATATATATATATATATAT